CCCCACCCCCGGACCCAGGGCCCTTGTAAAACCAAAACTTGTCAGAGAGAGGGACCTGCAACACTGTCCACCACTAGAGAGAGGTGGAAGGTGGCCAGAAGCATGGTGTCACAGGGGAACAAGCGCAAGACCCAGAGAAGCCAGCGGCCGTCACGAGTCCTTGCTGTTGCTCATAGAAGGTGTCTTGTAGAAGTCAGGAAAAGGTTTCCACAGGGAAGGGAGTGGAGCCAGGTGATGGGGAGATGCTAAGAGGGAAGACACAGGTTAACTAACGTGGGTGCAGGGGAAGTGACAGACAGACGGAGAGAGGCCGGTGAAGACGATGACGGCAGGGGCAGATGCTGCAGGGAGCATAAGAGGTCAGCGCCGTGGGGCACACGTCCAGGTGGTTAAATGTGTGGGCGGCCAAGGCAGCATGGCCACATGCACAAAGCAGAGTTTCGACAGTTCATGCAAAGTGGAGTTTTTGTGCAAGCTCCTGGAAGCCCCCTTGTAAAGGAGCCCTGGTGGCAGGGTGGTTACGAGCTAGACTGTGAGCTGCAGGGCCAGCAGTTCGAAACCACCATGAATAGCTCCAGGAATGCAGTGAAGCAGCCAGGGGTCAAAGCCATGAAAACCTCTGAAGACGTAACCAAACACCTTAAAGAGCGTTCCTTGGCCTGGAGACTCGGGACCCGGGTTCACTAGCAGAAAGACAGGGCTCCACCTCCTGATGTGGCGAGTTGTGGCTTAGGTCTGGAAAGCTCATGAGAGGCCATCAAGGCACACCTGTGGGCCTCTCCCCATCCCGAGCCAAGAGGCCTGGTGATCACAACAAGACACAGACTCCCGGGCCACACAAACGTCAGTCCACACCCCGAGAAGAAGAGCCAGTCGGTGCTCAGCTCCCAGGACCAACTGGGATCCCGTTAGAAGGTCCTGCAGAGTGGGAGAAAAATATGGGACAAAACTCTAAATCACAGCAAGCGTGGGTTTACTGGCCAGGTGACCAGCGGGAACCCTGTGACTATGGCCCATGGTCACCCTTCAGTCCTGAAAACGGCTCAATTCTCGGCCAAATCATAGGTCTATGAGGGGCATGATCACACTACTGAGGTTCCCACACCTTAGGATGGTCAACCATCTCTGTTAGTCCAGCTAGACTAGAGAAACAATTTCACAGGCGCTCCCATGTATATAAGAAAGAGCTTTATTTATAAGAGCAATTGAACATTGAGGAAAACATCCAGTCCAGCCCAGATCAAGTCCATAGGTCTGATATTACCCCATGTGTCTGATACCAATCTATAAATTCCTCTTCAGGCACACAAAACACATGTGTTGATGCTGAATGGCCAGTGGGTAGGAAGTCTTGTGGATCCAGTGGTGGTGTAAGCATCTCAGCACTGGCGTGGGTCTCCACGTGGCTCCTCCAGCCCCAGGGCTCTAGCATAGCTCCAAGTGTCTTCTCCACCGGAATGTCTCACAGGGAGTGAGCTTGTGTCCCGGCTCCAGCAAGCTATGTTATCTCCTTAGTGCTTCAAGCTGAGGTCATCCAACTGCAACCTGATGGACAGGCCAGACTCCACCCCTTCGCTCTTGAGTCTCAAACTGACACCAGAGTATGTAACTACCACACCATCTGAGAGCCAAAAGACAGCATTTACTCAGGGACAGAGTGTGGACGGCTAGGAAAGTGGGGATGGTCAGAGCAAACACAGGGAGGAAGAGGGATATGTGACAGCACCCTGAAGGCCGAGCAGTCAAGGACAGGAAACGAGACGCCTGTGAGTTGTTGAAGGGAAGCATCCGCCACCCATTCCACAGGGAAAAGTTAGACACAGGAGAAGGAGCAACTGGTTTAGGACCCACCCCACACTGACAGGACCTCGTTAAGGTCACAAAGAGAACCCTCTTCCCAACTGGGATCACACCCTAAGGCAGGGGGATGCGGGGTGGCCACACACAAGGGGGGGAGAGGGGCGCAGCTGAACCCACGTTGTCCTGTCAATACCCTTGAGAACTGTGTGGCCTCCATCCACTCTCTCTCATTTCCTTTCAGAAAACCGAGTGGCTCTGTCTGAACTGCCAAACGAAACGACTGCTGGAGGGCAGCCTGGGAGAGCCCACCCCACCGCAGCTCCCCGTAGGGGCCCCTCAACGTGCAGCTGGGACCACTCCTGTGAAACAGAAAGGGCCACCAGGGCTGGGCCAGCCATCAGGCCCCCAGCCCACCAAGGCCAGCCCCCTGCCTGCCAAGGCCAGCCCCCTGCACGCCAAGGCCAGCCCCCAGCCTGCCAAGGCCAGCCCACAGTCCACCAAGGCCAGCTCCCTGCCCGCCAAGGCCAGCCCCCAGCCCACCAAGGCCAGCCCCCAGGCAAAGCCATTCAAGGGTTCTGAGCCCAGCAGGACCCCGGGCACTGCCCAGGAGAAGAAGGCAGGAATCCCAGCTAAAGCCGACACTGGGCCGAAGCCACCTGCAGAGACAGCCCCGCCCCCTGGGACTGCAAAAGCAAAGAGTGGGGCCCAGAGGACTGAGCCTGCCGCCCCTGTCAGCAAGGCTGTACCGGAAGCCCCCAAGGGCGGGGAGCCAGAGGTCAGTCCCAATCACACAGGAAGAACCCCAGCTCTCAGATGGGGTAGTTCCACCAAGGGCTGCCTCTTCTGGGGCTGAGGATGAAGACACCCCTCCCACCCCATCCGCTGGGCAGGTCCCAGGGGACCTCAGGAGAGGGCAGGGCCACCCCAGCTGAAGGAGAGTCTAGATGAGGCTGTAGTGGGCCTGAAGCTTGTGAGTTCCAGCCTAGCTCTAGCTCTAGGATCTTGTTGGATGCCTTGCTGGTTCTTAGTACCATTTGCTGTTTGAGAACCCAGGGCTGTTGGGGGAGAGAGGGGGCGCGGGGAGAACCTTGCCATGACTCTTGTAAGTTATGCAGGTCCAGAAAGCTGGGGTGGGCGGCGGGCCCTGAACACCTGGGCGACGGAGGGGCCTTCCCTGGGGCCCTGGGTTGGTGAGGGCTCAGTGCCGCTTCTCGCCCTGCTGCAGGAGCTGGTGGGCAAGCCTTACTCCCAGGACCTGTCTCGGAGCCCACAGAGCCTCAGTGACACTGGCTACTCCTCCGACGGCATCTCCAGCTCCCAGAGCGAGATCACAGGCACCGTCCAGCAGGAGGTGGAGCAGCTAGACAGTGCGGGGGTGACGGAGCCACGCCCGCCCAGCCCCTCGGAGCTCCACAAAGTGGGGAGCGGCATGCGGCCCTCACTGGAGGCCCAGGGCCGGGCCCCCAGCGGCAAGCAGGGCAGGCCGCTCGGCCACAGCGGCCGAAGCAGCAGTCTGGAGGAGCAGAAGCTGCGGCCCCACTCCCTGTCCATCATGCCAGAGGCTTTTGACTCCGATGAGGAGCTAGAGGACATTCTGGAGGAAGAGGGGGTTTCCCTCGAATGGGGAGGCCAGAGGGAGCGGCGGGACACGGCCGAGTCCTCAGACGACTTTGGCAGCCAGCTCCGGCACGACTACGTGGAGGACAGTAGCGAGGGTGGCCTGTCCCCACTCCCCCCGCAGGCTCCAGCCCGGGCAGCAGCGCTGACGGACGAGGAGTTCATGCGGCGGCAGATCCTGGAGATGAGTGCCGAGGAGGACAACCTGGAGGACGAGGAGGCAGTCGCCTCAGGGCCTGGCCTGGCTAAACACAGCGCCCAGAGGGGAGGCAGGCCCAGGGTGGAGCCCAGCCAGGAGCCGGCGATGACCAAGAGGCGCCTGCCCCACAATGCCACCACAGGCTACGAAGAGCTGCTCTCCGAGGGAGGCCCGGCGGCTGAAGAGGCTGCCACCGACAGCAGTGGGGCCCTGCAGGGGGGGCTCCGCCGGTTCAAGACCATTGAGCTCAACAGCACGGGCAGCTACGGTCACGAGCTGGACCTGGGCCAGGGCCCAGACCCCAGCCTGGACCGGGAGCCAGAGCTGGAGATGGAGAGCCTGACCGGCTCCCCAGAGGATCGCTCCCGCGGGGAGCACTCCTCCACCCTGCCCGCCTCCACCCCCAGCTACACCTCTGGCACCTCGCCCACCTCCCTGTCCTCACTGGAGGAGGACAGCGACAGCAGCCCCAGCCGCAGGCAGCGGCTGGAGGAGGCGAAGCAGCAGCGCAAGGCCCGGCACCGCTCTCACGGGCCCCTGCTGCCCACCATCGAGGACTCGTCAGAGGAGGAGGAGCTGCGGGAGGAGGAGGAGCTGCTGCGGGAGCAGGAGAAGATGCGCGAGGTGGAGCAGCAGCGCATCCGCAGCACCGCACGCAAGACCCGGCGGGACAAGGAAGAGCTGCGGGCCCAGCGGCGTCGGGAGCGCTCCAAGACACCGCCCAGCAACCTGTCCCCCATCGAGGACGCCTCCCCGACAGAGGAGCTGCGGCAGGCGGCGGAGATGGAGGAGCTGCACCGCTCCTCCTGCTCTGAGTACTCGCCCTCCCCCTCCCTCGACTCGGAGGCAGAGGCCCTGGATGGCCACGGCCCCGCCCGGCTCTACAAGTCAGGCAGTGAGTACAACCTGCCCACTTGCATGTCCCTCTACTCGCCCACGGAGATGCCCGTGGGCGGCTCCTCCGCCTCCAGCGCCGGCCGGCCCCTCAAGAGCGCGGAGGAGGCCTACGAGGAGATGATGCGCAGGGCGGAGCTGCTCCAGCAGCAGCAGGGCCACGCAGCGGGGGGCCATGCCCAGCCCCACGCCCCGCGTGGCCCCGGCCCCTTCGAATACCAGGAACTCGCGGACCGTGACTACGGCCGGGCCCCCCAGCCTGCCTCGGAGGGCGCGTCCACCGTGTACGAGGAGATCCTGCAGACGTCGCAGAGCATCGCGCGGATGCGCCAGGCCTCCTCGCGGGACCTGGCCTTCGCCGAGGACAAGAAGAAGGAGCGGCAGTTCCTGAACGCTGAGAGCGCGTACACGGATCCCATGAAGCAGAATGGTGGCCCTCTGACCCCCGGGACCAGCCCGACCCAGCTCGCCGCCCCGATGTCCTTCTCCAGCTCCACCTCCACCTCCTTGGACAGCAGTGGGAGCCGCATCATCCCAGATGTCCGCGTCACCCAGCACTTTGCCAAGGAGCCCCAGGACCCCGTCAAACTGCACAGTTCTCCCGCCTCGCCCAGCTCAGCGTCCAAGGAGGTGGGCATGCCCTTCCCGCAGGGCCCTGGGGCCGCGGCTCCGGGGCCCGCTGGCCTGCCTCGTGGATATGTGACTCCCGCCTCCACTGTGGGCTCGGAGCACAGCTATGGACAGAGCCCCACCACTGCAAACTACGGGTCCCAAACAGAGGAGCCGCCTGTGGCTGCCAGCGGCAGTGGGCGGGCTGCCAGAGAGAAGCCCCTCCCAAGCGATGGCCAGAGCAGCATCTCCCAGGCTTCCAGAGGATATTCCTATTTCGTGGGTTCCAGCCCACCCCTCTCCCCGTCCTCCCCCTCAGAGAGCCGCGCCTTCTCCCCTGGCAAGCTGGGCCCAAGGGCCACTGCAGAGTTTTCTACACAGACACCAAGCCCCACCCCCGCCTCAGATGCTCCCCGGAGCCCCAGTGGCTCCACTCCGGCCCCCATGGTGGCCCAGGGCACACAGACCCCGCACCGGCCCGGTGCCCCTCGCCAGGCCTGGCAACCACCCCCTCCGGAGTCTCCCTTTCTGGTCATCACACTGGCATCTGATGCCTCTAGCCAGCCCAGAATGGTCCATGCCAGCGCCTCCACCTCTCCAGTGTGCTCGCCCACTGGCTCCCAGCCTACTGCCCACAGCTACAGCCAGACAACGCCTCCAAGTGCGTCCCAGCTGCCCCCAGAGCCCCCGGGGGCCCCCGGTCTCCCTCGGGCACCCAACGCTGGGGCCGATGGGCCCCTGGCTCTGTATGGCTGGGGTGCCCTGCCTGCTGAGAACATCTCCCTGTGTCGGATCTCCTCTGTCCCCGGGACGTCCAGGGTGGAGCCAGGCCCCAGGCCCCCTGGCAGTGCCGTGGTAGACCTTCGCACGGCTGTCAAACCCACGCCCATCATCCTGACTGACCAGGGCATGGACCTGACCTCTCTTGCTGTGGAAGCGAGGAAGTATGGCCTTGCCCTTGACCCGCTCCCAGGTAGGCAGTCGACGGCTGTGCAGCCCTTGGTTATCAACCTCAATGCCCAGGAGCAGACCCACGCCTTCCTCAGCACGGCCACCACCGTGAGCATCACCATGGCCTCATCAGTGCTCATGGCTCAGCCAAAGCAGCCTGCCGTCTATGGGGACCCTTTCCAGAACCGAATGGACTTTGGCCAGGGGGCAGGTAGCCCCGTGTGCCTGGCCCAGGTCAAGCAGGTAGAGCAGGCTGTCCAGACCGCCCCATATCGAGGGGGGCCTCGGGGAAGACCCAGGGAGGCAAAGTTTGCCAGGTATAACCTGCCCAACCAGGTAGCCCCTCTGGCCAGAAGGGATGTTTTGATGACCCCAATGGGCACTGCCCAGGGTGTTGGCCTCAAGGCAGGCCCAGTGCCGGAACCTGGGGCAGAGCCCCACCAGGCCACGCCTGCAGAGCTCCGGCCCCACCCTCTGCCAGCTGCCAGGAAGCCCCACACCGTGGTGGTGCAGATGGGAGAGGGCACTGCTGGAACCGTGACCGCGCTGCTCCCGGAGGAGCCAGCGAGCGCGCTGGACCTCACCGGGATGCGGCCCGAGAGCCAGCTGGCTTGCTGCGACATGGTCTACAAGCTCCCTTTCGGCAGCAGCTGCACCGGGACCTTCCATTCTGCCCCTAGTGTGCCTGAGAAGAATGTGGCAGAGGCTGCCCCGCCTGGCCAAGGCAGCAGCCCCTTCTATAGCCCCCGGGACCCCGAGCCCCCAGAGCCCCCCACCTACCGGGCACAGGGAGTCATGGGGCCTAGGCCCCACGAGGAGCAGAGGCCCTACCCACAGGCCCTGCCTGGCAGGCTGTACTCCTCCATGTCTGACACCAATCTGGCCGAGGCTGGCCTCAACTTCCACGCCCACCGGCTTGGGCAGCTCTTGCAGGGCCCCAGCAGAGACTCGGCCATGGACCTCAGCTCCCTGAAGCACTCCTACAGCCTGGGCTTCGCCGACGGCCGCTTCCTCGGGCAGGGCCTGCAGTATGGGTCCTTCACAGACCTGCGGCACCCCACAGACCTTCTGAGTCACCCACTGCCCATGCGGCGCTACAGCTCCGTGTCGAACATCTACTCAGACCACAGGTACGGCCCGCGGGCAGACACAGCCGGCTTCCAGGAGGCCAGCCTGGCCCAGTACAGCGCCACCACGGCCCGGGAGATCAGCCGCATGTGCGCTGCCCTCAACTCCATGGACCAGTATGGCGGGCGGCACGGCGGCGGCAGTGGGGGGCCTGACCTCATGCAATACCCGCCCCAGCCGGGGCCCGGGCTCAGCGCCCCTCTCAGGCCTGACCTCCTAGGGAACCCCACTTTCCCAGAGGGCCACCCAAGTCCTGGGAACCTGGCCCAGTATGGGGCCGCAGCTGGCCAGGGTGCAGCCATCAGGCAGCTGCTGCCATCTACAGCCACTGTGCGTGCGGCCGACGGCATGATCTACTCAACCATCAACACCCCAATTGCCGCAACACTGCCCATCACCACGCAGCCTGCATCGGTGCTGCGGCCCATGGTGCGCGGCAGCATGTACAGACCGTATGCGGCCGGGGGTGTGGCAGCCGTGCCACTCAACAGCCTGGCACGCATGCCCGTGATCGCCCCCCGGGTACCTCTTGGACCCGCAGGGCTGTACCGGTATCCAGCACCAAGCAGATTCCCGGCGGCTTCCGCCATCCCGCCTGCTGAGGGCCCTGTCTATCTGGGGAAGCCTGCCGCTGCCAAGGCCCCGAGGGCTGGGGGCCCACCAAGGCCAGAGTTGCCTGCAGGGGCTGCCCGAAAAGAGGTACTTGCCACAGCCACCCCTGCGGCCATCAAGGAGGCTGCGGCAGCCCCAGTCCCACTCCCCATGACCGCCCACAAGCCCCCAGGAGATGCTGCCACTGGGCCTGGCAGTGGGGCCCGGGCAGGGCATGAGAAGGAGGAAGCCTTGCAGGAGGAAAAGCAGCGGAAGCAGCAGGAGCAGTTGCTACAACTGGAGCGGGAGCGGGTGGAACTGGAGAAGCTGCGACAGCTGCGGCTGCAGGAGGAGCTGGAGCGGGAGCGTGTGGAGCTGCAAAGGCATCGCGAAGAGGAGCAGCTGCTGGTGCAGCGGGAGCTGCAGGAGCTGCAGACCATCAAGCACCACGTGCTGCAGCAGCAGCAGGAGGAGCGGCAGGCTCAGTTTGCACTGCAGCGGGAGCAGCTAGCCCAGCAGCGCCTGCAGCTGGAGCAGATCCAGCAGCTGCAGCAGCAGCTGCAGCAGCAGCTAGAGGAGCAGAAGCATCATCGGCAGAAGGCGCCCTTCCCTGCGGTCTGCGAGGCACCTGCCCGGGGCAACGCCCCAGCTACAGCGGAGCTGGCCCAGAATGGCCAGTACTGGCCCCCCCTGACTCACACGGCATTCATTGCTGTGGCAGGGCCGGACGGACCTGGGCAGCCCCGAGAACACGTGCTGCACCGCGGCCTCCCCAGCTCCGCCTCTGACATGTCCCTGCAGACGGAAGAGCCGTGGGAGGCGAGCCGCAGTGGCATCAAGAAGCGGCACTCCATGCCGCGCCTGCGAGACGTCTGCGAGCAGGACCCAGCATCGGCGGTGGCACCAGAGCCCAGCCCGGTCAAGAGGATTGCGGACAGCAGCGTGCAGACGGACGACGAGGAAGGGGAGGGCCGCTACCTCCTGAGCCGGCGGCGGCGCACACGGCGGAGCGCCGACTGCAGCGTGCAGACCGACGATGAGGACAACGCTGAGTGGGAGCAGCCAGTACGCCGCCGCCGGTCCCGTCTCTCCCGCCACTCAGACTCGGGCTCAGACAGCAAGCACGATGCTGCCGCTAGCGCCACCGGCTCCTCATCCACCTCCACCACCGCAGCCCGGGCCACGAGCAGTGTGGCCATCCAGACCATCAGCGACTGCTCTGTGCAGACTGAGCCTGACCAGCTGCCCCGGGTCTCTCCGGCCATTCACATCACTGCTGCCACGGACCCCAAGGTGGAGATCATCCGGTACATCTCGGCTCCGGAGAAAACTGGCCGCGGGGAGAGCCTGGCCTGCCAGACAGAGCCTGACGCGCAGGCCCACGGGCCGCAGCTAGTAGGGCCAGCCACCATTAGCCCGTACCTGCCCAGCATCCAGCTTGTCACCCCGGGGCCCCTGGGCAGGTTTGACAAGAAGAAGCCAGATCCTCTGGAGATTGGGTACCAGGCTCACTTGCCCCTTGACTCCCTCTCACAACTGGTGAGCCGCCAGCCCCCTAAGTCCCCCCAGGTCCTCTACTCGCCAGTCTCACCCCTGTCCCCGCACCGGCTCCTGGACACCTCCTTTGTCTCCAGTGAGAGGCTGAACAAGGCCCACGTGAGCCCCCAGAAGCACTTCGCGGCCGACAGCGCTCTCCGCCAGCAGACGCTGCCTCGCCCCATGAAGACCCTGCAGCGGTCCTTGTCTGACCCTAAGCCCCTCAGCCCCACCGCCGAGGAGTCTGCCAAAGAGAGGTTCTCCCTCTACCAGCACCAGGGGGGGCTGGGTAGCCAGGTATGGGCACAAGGGCTGGTCTAGGGTGGGGCAGAGGTCAATGCCTAGGGAGGGGCTTCTTTTGGGGGCGGGGGGTGGGGGCTCAGGGGAGGGAGGCAAGGATGGGCACTTCTCCCTGCCCATCCGGTGGAGCCCCCAGTCTGGCCCAAGCAGCCCCATCCACATCCAGGTACACCCACAGGCCCGCCCCTGTAGATAACTCTCAAGAAACCTTACCCTCTCCCCAGCCCGGCCCCTCTCTACCCACCCCTGGCACAGAGGCCATGAGCTGTCCATGCTGCTCCCCCCTGCCCCCATTCTCCCCTTCAGGCCCCCTCAGTTCTCCTCTCCGGCCTAGGCCTTCTCATTCAAAACTTTGCCATGATGTTCCCCTGGGAAAGTCAGGGCCACAGGCCCGGCCTGCCCACCCTCTGGAGCTGGACCCCGTTGGCACATCACAACCAGCTGGCTGTAGCTGTTCCCAGTCACATTGCGTGCCCTGCCCCTACCTTGGCCTTCTCTAAGTCTGCTCACGCGGCTGTGTGTACCCAAGACAGGAGCCCCTGGAACATCCACTTGCCGTGTCTGGCTCAGGTGCCAATGACACCCTGGGGCTTTTTATGAGGTAGACTGGCTGGGGCTGCAGCGGTGAGCGGAGGGGCTTGTGAGACCTGACTTCAGGCTCAGGAGGGTGGCCCGTCCCTGAAGGCCCTGGGATGGTCCGGAGGATTTAGACAGGCAAGGCAGGACAGAGTGGGATTTTAGGAAGCCCCCTGGGCAGGGTGTGAGCTGAGGAGCTGAAGGAAGCCATTTTAGCAGTGACCCCAGAGAGAGGATTGTGAGGTATTTAAAAACAAACCAAAAAGACAACCCTCAAACCCAAACTCACTGCTGTGGAGATGGTACTGACTCATAGGGACCTCCAGGGCAGAGTAGAACTGCCCCCTGTGAGTTTCAGAGGCTGTCAACTCTTTATGGGTGTAGAAAGCCCCACCTTTCTCCTGGTGGTTTTGAACTGCTGACCTTGTAGGTAGTAGCCCAACTTGTAGCCACCACACACCAGAACACAGGCAGACCTGCTGTGCGGTGGCTCCCTGGTACATCCAGGGCAGATGGAACTGGGAGTCAGGGAAGCAAGTCAGAGTGCCATGGTGGTCTTAGCTCCAGGCTGGGGTAGGACAGAGACCCCGTGGGCTGTCGTGCTACTGCCAAGCCACCATGGCCCCTCGTGGGTATGTGGACACAATGAGACAACAGAGTGGAAAGTTGAGGTTCAGCATAATCCATTGAAAGCCCACCATTCATTCTGAAACGGGGGCACACTGTCTTATTCTTTTACAACATAATAGCTAGCAGCAGGCGGGGAGTTTTTAATGTAACTCCTCCTTGACCCTGAAAAAAGTTAGAAGTTCCTTCTCCATCCCCAGTGTGTTTGGGGTGGTCCACGAAACTCCAACTCAGAAGCCTGGGGCACCTGGGGAGAGCTGGGAGCAAGAGGCCACGGGCAGGCCCGAGGTGTACCTTCAGGTCTTCCTGAGGGCCATGACGAGCAGGAAAATGTGCACACAGAGCCAGGGCTGCAGCGGCCCTGGAGGGCTGCCAGTGGGCTGAGAGTGCAGAGCCGGGGCTGTGGCAGAAACGGTGCTGAGCGAAGAGGCTGGGCCGGCAGCAGGGCAGTCTGTCCCGTTAGAGAGGAGTGTGCATACTAGGACAGTAGAAGATGTGCTTGCAGCAGCTGATGTGCAGTTAGTATGGCACCCTTCCCATGATCCTCTAGGGAGGTTGGCCGGCCCTCGTTCCTGTCCATGGCTCCTCCTTCACCCCAGGTCACCAGAACCCAAACCTAGACCACACTGTCTTCACCCCAGCGGCTGCCAGGCCTGTTGTAGGTGGTCCAGCACAGAGGGAAATCCACCCGCTTCTCCTCCACAGCTCTGAGTGCGGGAATGGGAAGGCTCATAGAAATGGGCAAAGAAATCAAGGCCCGCGGGTGGGAGGGCAGGTGTGCAGGCTGCCTGGTGCTTGGTGAGTCAGGGCACTGACACATTAGGGGGCCTGGCCCCTACCCCAGTGCAGGCCTGGGCTTTCTCCCCACCACCCGCCCGGCGCCCACACCCGAGGTCTCAGTGCTGCCCGCCCTTCCCTCTGTCTCAGGTGTCGGCGCTGCCACCCAACGGCCTGGTCCGCAAGGTGAAGCGGACACTGCCCAGCCCTCCTCCAGAGGAGGCTCACCTGCCCCTGGCCAGCCAAGCACCCCCTCAACTGTACGCGGCTAGCCTGGTGCAGCGTGGGCTGGCGGGGCCCACCGCCGTCCCCGCCATTACGAAGGCGAGCCTGCTCCGGGAGCTGGACCGCGACCTGCGGCTGGTGGAGCACGAGTCCACCCAGCTGCGCAAGAAGCAGGCGGAGCTGGACGAGGAGGAGAAGGAGATCGACGCCAAGCTCAAGTACCTGGAGCTGGGCATCACGCAACGCAAAGAGTCTCTGGCCAAGGACCGGGGTGGCCGTGACTACCCTCCCCTCCGTGGCTTGGGCGAGCATCGCGACTACCTGTCAGACAGCGAGCTCAACCAGCTGCGGCTCCAAGGCTGTGTGGCCACCCCCGCTGCCACCGGCCAGTACACGGCAGATTTCCCCACCGCTGCGGCAGCCATTCCCGCCACCCCCGCTGGCCCCACTGCATACCACCAGCTGCGACTCCCACCTCCAGCAGCGCCATACTCTGTGGGCACGGGCGGGCCAGCTCCAGATGGGTTCCCGGCCCACCAGGCGCCCGCCTACGCAGGCCCCAGCACGTACCCAGCGCCTGCCTACCCTTCTGGCACCAACTACCCAACGGAGCCTGGGCTGCCAAGCCAGCGAGGTCTCCGGCCTACAGGCCACTACTCCGCCACAACGCCCATGCCGGCCACCCAGAGCCCCCATTTCCCAGGCCAGGCCGACAGCCGGGCCCTGCACCAGAAGCCACGCCAGACGTCGCTGGCAGACTTAGAGCAGAAGGTGCCCACCAACTACGAGGTGATCCCCAGCCCTGCCTCAGCCATGTCGGCGGCCCCCTCCGACACCAGCTACAGTGGCCTAGCGGTGAGCAACAGCTATGAGCAGGCCCAGGTCTCTGACCTTTCCCGGGCCAGCGAGCGGAGCAGCCTGGGCCAAAGCCCAGCCCCCAGCTACCCGTCCGACTCACCCTACACCAGCCTGGAGCAAAGCGTGCCGCGGAACTACGTGATGATCGAGGACATCAGCGAGCTGACCAAGGACAGCTCCACCGGCCAGGACAGCCAGCGCCTGGAGCCGCTGGGGCCCAGCGTCAGTGGACGCCCGGGGAAGGAGCCTGGGGAGCCGGGCAGCCACGAGGGCCCTGCACCGCCCTGCTGCTACGGCAGAGGGGAGGAGGAGTCTGAGGAAGATGCCTATGACCCCCGTGGGAAGGGCAGCCACCACCGCGGCATGGAGAGCAACAGCCGGCCGGCCGGCCCCCACTACTACAGCGACGGTGACTACAGGCACGGCGCTCGAGCAGAGAAGTACGGCGCGGGCCCCGTGGGGCCCAAGCATCCGTCCAAGTGCATGGCCCCGGCGGCCGTCTCCTCCAAGCGCAGCAAGCACCGGAAGCAGGGCATGGAGCAAAAGATCTCCAAGTTCTCCCCCATCGAAGAGGCCAAGGACGTGGAGTCGGACCTGGCTTCCTACCCAGCCGCTGCGGCCAGCAGCAGCCTGAGCTCCCGGAGCAGGAAGTTCCAAGACGAAGTCACCTACGGGCTCAAGAAGAACGTGTATGAGCAGCAGCGGTACTATGGGGTGTCCAGCCGGGACTCGGCGGAGGAGGACGACCGTGTCTACGGCACCAGCCGGCCCCGAGCGGCCTCCTCGTATAGCGGCGAGAAGCTGTCGGGCCATGACTTTGGGGGCCGGGGCAAGGGGTATGAGCGCGAGCGCGAGCCCGTGGAGCGGTTTCAGAAAGCGGGCCCCAAGCCCTCGTCCCTGGGCATGGCCCACGGCCGAGCCCGGCCCCCCATGCGGAGTCAGGCTTCCGAGGAGGAGAGCCCTGTCAGCCCCTTGGGGCGGCCGCGCCCCGCCGGGGGCACCCTGCCTCCTGGAGAGGCCTGCCCGCCCTTCTGCTCCAGCCACTCCATGCCGGACGTCCAGGAGCACGCCAAGGACGGGCCGCGAGCCCGCCCCTACGAGCGCGAGGAGGGCTACGTCTTGGACGACGCCCACTGCGTGGTTTCCGACAGCGAAGGTAATGACGGCCGGGGGTGATTTCTGCGGGGCTCAGCCCCGGGGGCCCCGGGCC